GTCCCTTGAGGGAAATTAGTGACCAACAGTTTTTGACAACACAAAAATCTTTTTTATGAAAATCTAAACTTGTGTTCAGCTGCGTCGTTGCAACGTTGATCATCATGTTGTTCTCATGCATGAATCAGCTGCTTTCTGCCCATCGCACTTCTGTTCTTTTCCACTGCTTCATCGTCACCGCTTCACGCCATCATCAGGTGACATCACTGACCTGCCAGGTAAGACTCACTCATCACTGACCCATTCACGCACATGACCGTGTTCACGCTCACTGGTGTTTCACCTGTTGGTGTCGTTGCTCTCGGTGTTTAGAGGCTGAAGTGTCCGGTGAGTATCAGCCCCCCCCCCCCACCTCAGAGACACGTGTCCACTGATGTGGTTTCAGATGAAAACGCTGCGTCACCAGTGATGCCCCCTGAGGGAGGAGCCAGCTTTATAAACTCACTAATTGATCATTTTAGCATCAACAGCATCTCACAAGATCATCAGAAGTTTTCTTCCAACGACAACACAAACAAGTTCCACACTTTGGACACATGATGCCAGCTGAGCTGTTGCCATAACAACTACTTTAACTGTCTTAGCTAAAGACAACCGTGAAATATTGTATCAAGTGGAAGATGATATTGATTTGACAAGTTACCAAACTAATTGAATTCATTTTAATTTGGAATCATTAGCGTTTTCATATTTCTCCACATGAGTGTGAGCGTGGCAGCACGGCGCCCTGTTCACAGCCTCGTGTCAGCATGTTGAATTAGCCGAGTTATTCTGTTGGAGTGTTTTTTGTTTGTGGTGTTTGTGAAAGTGATTCTTCTTTTCTATACGATGAACGTCAGGACGTGAGCGTCAGGCATGACAACGCTGTCGTGATCACATGGAACGATCCCTCCGTCTGTTTGGTTCAGAGCTGCACTCCAGATATTCATGATGATGATGTTGTATTGATAGATCACATTTAAAAAGACAGTTTGACTGAGTGTCGAACAGAAACAAAACATGTAGTTACATCAGTTTAACTGAGAAGACTCCAGAGCAGTTTTTAAGATGGGCCCCCTACTGGAGAAACTTGGTAAGACTTGTCAGTGAAGAGTAAACTGTACTAGAAAGACTTTTGTTTCAAAACATGAAACAAAGAACTTACAGAGATTCTAGTTCATTGAGTTCTTCAAAACCAATTTTTAAAAAGCAACGAGAGAAGTTATTCACATCCTCAAGGTCACATACATAATATAATATATAATAAAAGTATAAGGCCGAATACGGAGCCCTGAGGTTCGTCCCAAGAGACGTGAGCAGAGAGAATGTTTGAAACCGATCAGTTTGTTTAGGTTGTTTTTGTCGTCATGTTTCATTTGTTCGGTTGTTTTCAGTGGTTAACACGACTCAACTCAAAATACGAGTCAGATACGACTTGTCTGAGATTCAGTGACTTTAAGACGAAGGACGTCCTGTGTGATCATGATGTGTAAATACAGCATGTAGCACCTGTCCCCTCCTGCACCTGAACAGAATGAAAATCCTCAATGTTTCGCTGCCCACAACTCCCGAATCTTGTTCCCTTGAAACTCTATCATTGTTCCTTTGGTTCCACTTCATCTTTAGTTCAGCAGCTCATTCCTGTTCGGTTCCCTAGTTGTTCTTCTCCTTCTGTTGGGTCCATTGGTCGGTTGACGCCTTGATTCAGAATCTTTCTATTTTCTGCTGTTCCTCTTTTCTTGTTTGTTCCCAAACCTTGGAACAGCTGTTTGGTTGTTTCCTTAAATCCTTGGTTCCACAGTTGCAAAGATGCTCAGGACCTGAGCTGGTTCCTTTTGAACATTCGGCCCAAGGCACCACGGTTCTTGGTATTAACTTGTACTTGATGCTGTGCCATCTTTGGTATGAACTGTGGATCTTAAATGACCAGGGTTAGTGGTTCCACAGTTTCTAAGAACTGTGGAACCTCAAGTAGGATGATAAAGAACCTTGAGCCTTGAAGATGCTGTGGCCCCTGTCCTCTCAACACTTTAGTTCCTTGGTCCAGTGGTTCCTTGGTTTCCCTGCCAGTGTAGACCCTCAGGTCTGGGGCTACGTGCTGCCTCGGTTCTTAGTTTCTTCAGGTGTTTGGTTTCTACGGTTCTCATCTCTGCTCACAGGTCTGGCTCCATCCATCCACGTGTGGGACGCCATGACAAAGCAGACGCTGTCCATCCTCCGCTGTTCCCATGCAAAAGGTGTTGGCTATGTCAACTTCAGCGCTACAGGAAAGCTGCTGCTGTCTGTGGGAGTGGAACCTGAACACACCATCACCGTGTGGAGGTGGCAGGAAGGTACCACATATTTCATTCAGATTAAAAATATATAAATGATAAAGAGGCAGAAGTGTTTTCTCAGGAAAGCCTGTTGAACGAGTTGCCCGGTGCAGTAACGTCATTTGAATGTTTTAGGGATTGAGTTTAAAACAATGAAGAACTAAAATCAGACTCAGTACAACGTATCCCTCCACCAAGGCCAAACAACCCTACACATGATTGTGGAGTTCTTATAGTAGAGCTATGAAAGGAAACAGGAAGTGGTTTGATAACGTAAAGATTTATTTCATAAAACAAACTTAAAGGAACTTTATTCTGGATCCAGGTCTCAGCTTTGTTTTGTGGTTTTTCATGTCGTAGAGACTAAAGCAAAGTAAACATGTCACAATGAATGTTCCATACGGGGGCATACAGGCTGACCTCTGACCTCTCTGCCAGGCACCAGGGTGACCAGTAAAGGTGGCCACGCTGAGCGCATCTTCGTCGTGGAGTTCAGACCCGACTCTGACACCCAGTTTGTGTCAGTAGGAATTAAACACATCAAGTTCTGGACTCTGGTTGGAGGTTCACTTGTGTACAAGAAAGGTGTGATCGGCTCAGTGGAGGACGGCCGCATGCAGACCATGCTGTCTGTGGCGTTTGGTGCAGTAAGAGAAACGTTTTACATTTGTAACTTCAAATAAAATGTATAAATGTCCAGTTCGATGCAAGTCAGTATTTTTCTAATCCAGAACAACCTGACCTTCACTGGTGCGATAAACGGAGACGTATTTGTGTGGAGGGAGCACTTCCTTGTTCGGGTGGTGGCAAAGGCGCACAGTGGTCCGGTCTTCACCATGTACACGACCCTGAGGGACGGACTCATCGTCACAGGCGGGAAGGAACGACCGTGAGTTCTCAAACACAAAGACGTGAACCAGTGTTTGAACAGATGGAGCAGTGGTGACAGTTTTGTTGTTGGTGATGGTGGTTTACATGAGTAATCATAGTGTATATCCATCTAGTTGTTATCATTATACATGGTTCTGTTGGTGTGTTTCTCAGGACTAAAGAAGGGGGCGCTGTGAAGCTTTGGGACCAGGAGATGAAACGCTGCCGAGCATTTCAACTGGAGACGGGTCAGCCGGTGGAGAACGTCCGATCTGTCTGCAGAGGGAAGGTGTGAGAAGAATAAAATGTCTTCAGCAGAATTAACTGAACATTTATATGAAATGAAATGAAAGTAATTTAAAACAACACATTTGAATCAACTGGTTCCAGATGTTAGAGACACTTGTGTTGAGACGTTGTGGGTCTGCGTAGAATGATCCTCACTGTTTGACTTTGTCCTTCTCTGGACGTCTCTGACTCGTCTCTTCGTTCCCGGTGAATCAGGGAAAGATCCTGGTGGGAACTAAAGATGGAGAGATCATAGAGGTTGGAGAGAAGAATGCAGCCTCCAACACGATGATCAACGGACACACTCAGGGGGGAATCTGGGGTTTGGCAACTCACCCTTTCAAAGACGTCTTTATCTCCGCCAGTGACGACGGGACCATCAGGATATGGGACCTGGCTGATAAGGTAAAGATTGAGCTGAGGATCAGATCGTCCTCTTCCCCTGGTGTAAGTTCTCATCCTTCCACTTCTCCTTCTCTCTCAGAAACTTCTCAACAAGGTGAGTTTGGGTCATCCTGCCAAGTGCACGTCCTACAGCCCCAACGGAGAGATGGTTTCTATCGGCATGGAGAACGGCGAGTTCATCGTCCTGCTCGTCAACTCCCTCACTGTCTGGGGCAAGAAGAGAGACCGCAGCGTCGCCATCGAGGACATCAGGTAAAAGGTCTGGACGTCTGTCCGGATGCTCGTCGGGCATTTGTCAGGACGTCGGTGTTACACACTTGTGTGTTTTGTTCTTCAATCAATTCAACCTGTTTTTTCCCTGTGGTTCAGGTTTGGCCCAGATAACCGGTTCTTAGCGGTGGGTTCAGTTGAAAGTGCTGTGGATTTTTACGACCTTTCTCTTGGACCGTCCCTCAACCGGATTGGTTACTGTAAGGACGTCCCCGGCTTCGTCTTCCAGATCGACTTCTCTGCAGACAGCAAACACATCCAGGTTAAAGATTGGAAACCTCCGCCCACTCTGGATGTTGAGTTTTGTTTTGTGTGTCTGCTCAAATGTGTTTGAAACAGAAACCAGAAGCTTTTACACATTTGTTTTATTCACATGAAGAATCTGTTTATGGATTTATTATTAGTTTTGTGCAGATGCAGGTTAAACTGCTGTTAATGTTCTTGTTGCTGGGACCTTTGACCTTTTCCTGATGGCTCAGTGTAATGTTGATGCAGCAGCTGAAGGTTTTCCTGTTCTGCTCCAGGTGTCCTCCAGCACCTACACCAGACAGGTGCATGAAGTTCCCTCAGGGAAGATGGTAACGGAGCAGTCCCTCATAGAGAGGATCACCTGGGCGACCTGGACCAGGTGAGGCTGGTCCACAGATGATGATGTGGGGACTTGCAGTAGAGCTCAACCAATTGGAACTGTTTTCCAATTGGTTGGTTACAAACCAACCAATTGGAAAACAGTTAAGAACCAACCAATCAGAAGACAGTTAAGAAACAACCAATAGTGTGAGAATCACCTCATCAACACATTCTCCAGACATTTTATGGGGGGCTGCAGGAAAAGTTCCAGAACATGTGATGTACATGTGAGGAACATGTGAGGGACATGTGAGGAACATGTAAGGGACATGTGAGGAACATGAGACTTCAGTTCATGTCTGGAAACATCTTTATTGTTCACCTGAAGAAACTGTGAGGCTGTGGCATTTCTCAGAAATTGATCAGTCTTGGTCTTTTTCTTTCTAGCGTCCTGGGGGACGAGGTTCTCGGGGTTTGGCCACGTAATGCTGAAAAGGCAGACGTGAACTGTGCTTGTGTTTCCCACGCCGGCATCAACCTGGTGACAGGAGATGATTTTGGTCTCATCAAGCTCTTTGACTTCCCCTGCTCTGAAAAATTTGTAAGTGAACTTTGCACCTGAAAGACTCGGATGAGTTGGGTGTTTGTGTGACCTCATCAGCTGCTGATGTTTTTCCAGGCGAAACACAAGCGGTACTTCGGTCACTCTGCTCATGTGACCAACATCCGCTTCTCCTGTGACGATAAATACGTCATCAGTGCCGGAGGCAGCGACTGCAGGTGAGATCTGACTTAAATCTGAATCAGCAGAGACTCGCTCTGCTTTCAAACATTCATTCTTCTGTTTCCTCCTGTTTCCAGTTTATTTGTGTGGAAATGTCAGTGAGTCTCGACATCGTCTTCTCTTGTGAGACTGGATTCACCTGAGTCTTCACCTGAGTCACAGCAGACAGGAAGTGTGAGCTGACCCGGCTTCAGACGCCTTCTACTGTCTACGTCTTGTAAATCCAGATGTTTTAATGTGAAACGTTTGTGGTTAGAAAGTTTTTCAGTTTGACCTCAGTGAAGTAGCTGTTTGATGTCGCCGTGTTTCTGTTTGTCAGGATGTGCCTTCTTCACAAAGTCTGACCAAACATTTGATACAACTTTATTTCTAATGGTGGTGCTATGAACAGAGGTCATTTAGGGCTTTTACAGGTACGGAAGATAAACAGTGTCCTTGTCTCGTTTGTTTTTGTATCTCTCTCTGTCTGATGAAGATGATGATGATGACGATGATGATGATGATGATGATGATGATGGGTAGTGAGAATTACAGTGAAGTAGAATAAATTAGATCCAGATGGATCTTTGTTTGATCCCAGTTATAAAAACCGAAGCAACAGAAGAACTTTTTTAGAATTAAATTGTGAGCAGAATATGTGTGGACAACATTTTCATCTTTGTCTCTCCACAGGGTGGCGCTATGTTTTTTTCTCTGTATTTATCTGATGTAGAAATAACAATAAAAAAACTGAAAATTACTTTGCAGCGTCGTGTTTTAAAAAAAGTTGAGTGTTTTCCTGAAGTTCTTCATCAACACAAACATGTTTCTGTTGACGTCTGTGTTTTGTGAGGATTAGGAAACTGTAAATTTAATATCCAGGATTATTCATCAGGTTCACTTGTCTCTGACCGTCACTAATGTCGGAGTTTAAAGACCGCGATGTTTCTCCTGCCAATTATATGTGGTTATTTTTTTCTTCACGTGATTTAAGTGATGAAGACTTGGTCACTGTCTGTGTCGTGAAGAAACATCGCCAGAGGAGTCGTTTTTTGGACTATACAACTTCACCACTCGATGCAACTGAACCCTCAGCACTACACATTACTGGTGGAGTTCCACAGGGTTCAGTTTTGGGTCCCATGTTATTTCACAGAGGCTTCGGTTGAGAAGCTAATCCTGGTTGAGAAGAATTACAAACACTTTGAAACATGACGCCAGAGTTTCATAGTGCTCAAGTGACTCCTCTCTGTGCGTAGTAACTTTTCTATGGGATTTTAATCACGTTTACCAACAATGTTTGAAGAAAATAAAAAGGTTTGCAGTAAAAGGAAACAACAAATGATTTAGTTAAAATGTTTTGAAAGTAAAAAATATTGTGGGACATGATAACTGTTAATTGTGACATGTAACTTATGATTTGATGTGAATTTACATTATTTAAGAAGTAGGATGTTATAAATATGTAGCTACATAATCATATTAATTTATCCTTATTGTCTCTGGACAATAAAACTTAATTGAGTTAATTGATGATTATTTTGAATAAAGTAGTTTATTTAAACCAGCACAGTTTCATTTAATGTACAGGAAGCTGAGGGTCAATAACACAATTCCTTTGGGCCCGTGTCGGTGTGGAGGGAAATGAGCAGTTGGACACTTTAACCGGACTGAAGTTTAAAAGTCTTTTATTCACATTAGAGCTGAAGTGAAATAAGTGGGGGCGGGGATCCAGTTCCACTCCGCCCCGACAGGGGGCGGTGTGGGTCGCTGGCTCTGTCAGCGGACTGTCATGGCGGCGCCCTGTGTGAGGTTAGAGCGACTGATGAAGATGAGCTGAGAGAAGAAGCTGAACACGTGAACTCAGGTGAGTCCAACCACCGAACCACCGTGAAGGTGAGCACGTGACACTGCGTCCGGTTCACCTGTGTCACGTGGTTCTAACGTTTTATTTCCGTCAACACGAGACACTGAACGAAGTGAAAGTAAAGATTCTGAAGTTGAACGCGTCCATGAATTCGTCTGTTGTTTGAATCCTGCAGAGAGAGAGAGAGAGAGAGAGAGAGAGAGAGAGAGGCAGTGCATGATGGGAGTTCTCCCTCAGTCTGTGATGTATGTGAGCATCGTGATATTCTGGATTTTACTGGGACCCGATGCAAAGACACTGAGGAGTAATGTGAACTCTGCTTCTAGTTCCTCAGCACTTTGGACCCACTGGACCCTTTCACAGACTTCCTGTGACGTCCTGATAATAACCAGTCAGTAGTCTAGAGAACAAATGGACGAGTTTCTCAGCGTTCTTCTGAGACAGGATGTTTCTAATGTTTCAGATATCGTGCAGGTGGAAGAAAGCTGTCCTAGAGACTTGTTTTATATGTGGGTCAAACGTCCTGGTCGAGCATGACTCAGCGTTCCTCACAGTGGAGCTGGGGGACACACGAACACCAATCTGCTCAGACAGTGAATCTCTCAGATGTTTAGGACCAAGTACAACGAGCTCAGTCTGAATTTATATGATATCACGTTATATTCATGTTACAAATTCTAAGCATGTTGTGTTCGTGTTATGAATGAATGGAAGTGCTCTGTCCAGTTTCTGTGGCTCCGTGTCATGAACAGCTCAAACGTCAGACCTCCTCTCAGTTCACGTGTCCCTGAACACACCATCACCTCTCTACCTGGACCCTGCAGGTATGAATGTGATGTCTTCAGTGATGTCATCAGCGATGCGGGCAGCGCGGCGAGTCGTCCATGCCGACCCGGCTCTGCTCCGCAGCTTCCTGTCTCCGCCCCTCCATGGTCCTGCCCAGAGCCCCGCCCCCTTGCTCGCCTGTCATCAGAACAGGAAGTATGCCTCCAAACAGGTGAGTCTGTCTACCTGTGTTTTGGACGCGCCCTCTTTACCTGGTCCTTGATCTCGAGATGTGTTGCAGGTCAAAGGTCAAAAGAAAGAGCAGAAGAACCCGAAGGTCAAAGCCAAAGTGGACAAACAGGAAGTGGAGATCAGTCAGAGGATGACGGTGTCGGCTCTCGCTGAGGCCATGAACAGAGACTGTGGTGAGAACCAATGAGGATGCAGACTGCTCCTGCTCTTGTCTCTGTGGAGCACATCAATAAAGTTTTGTATTTCAGATCACGTCTTCGAGGCCCTGCTGAACACCTCGGTGGATCTGGACTCTCTGGATCCAGACTCGGTTCTGGACGAGAACTGGATCAAAGAGGTGGTGACTCGTTCAGGGATGAAGTTCAAATGGGCCAATCTGAGCGAGAGCAAGAAGAGAACCAACAGGGACGCCCACCGCAGGTAACGGACAGGAAGTCATTAAAGGTGGTGATCATTAAAGCATCATCTACAAACACACAGTTAACAACCAACCAATCACAACACAGTTACAAACCAACCAATCACAACACAGTTAACAACCAACCAATCAAAACACAGTTAACAACCAACCAATCAGAACCTCGTTAACAACCAACCAATTAGAAGACAGTCTTGTACTATATGAACCCCCACATGTGACAGTCACTACTCTCTGACCTTTGACCTGTGACATCATCAGACCTCCAGCAGACCCGTCCAACCTGGTGTCACGCCCCCCTGTGGTCACCATCATGGGTCACGTGGACCACGGTAAGACCACCCTGCTGGACAGTCTGAGGAAGAGTCAGATCGTGTCGATGGAGGCCGGAGGAATCACTCAGCACATCGGAGCCTTTCTGGGTAAACATTGAAAAACTTTATCCTCACAACTTGTTGATTATTGAACGATAAAAACATTCACGTGGGTTTCGTTCTTCCAGTTCAGCTGCCGACAGGTGAGAAGATCACCTTCCTGGATACTCCAGGTCACGCAGCCTTCTCCTCCATGAGGGCCCGGGGAGCCAGTGCCACCGACATCATCATCCTGGTGGTGGCGGCCGACGATGGCGTCATGAACCAGACGGTCGAGTCCATTCAGCACGCCAGGAGAGCCAAAGGTAGGTGTGTGTGTGTGTGTGTGTGTGTGTGTGTGTGTGTGTGTG